TAACATACGAAACTCTCCCAGTACATTGTCTGAAAAACGAGACTATGTTTGTTCTGGGCGACACTAAACCCCAATTTAACCTTCTGAGCCCATACCATGCATAAGTCTGAGCCCCACACCCCTAAATCCCATTATCCTACAATCGTAGATTCTACATTCCTCGAGCCTACAACCCGACCGTGCTGCCTGCAGCGAAAGGTCAACAAAAGAGAGCGCGCGACGAAACGGCTGGTCCTGGAGCTTTAGCAAGCAGATGGAGTGTTCAGAAAAGTTCTATAATTTGGGATTTGGTGCAGGATCTTGGGACGTAGAAAGTTTACTAGAATCTAGAAGTGGGGCGCTGATCGAGATACACCCAACTCGCATCAAATAGTCACAACCTTAAACCCCCAACTTTGACCGATGTACTACCACGTCCCATGACCATTCAAATGCTCGTGTCCGGAGGGCACTTCTGGGAGAGAAGGACTCCAAAACACAGTATTAAGGAATATGCCTGAGACTATGCATTAGTTCATAGTAAGGCAAGGATCCCACTGGAATCCCTGCAAGTGTCTGAAGGGATATTCCTTGATTGAAGGTGCTTTTTAGAGTCTATGGGCGGATGCTGAGAATGCACAGCCTTCAATTTGGTACATCATACTTCATGGCTCACCCAGTCTTGGGGGCTAAACCCAAGAATCAAAACCCTCAAACCCATAAGCCCCTCATGGTAAGATCCTACACCTTCAACCCCAAAATCCCCAACAGGTACTGGCCTTCTTATGTTTATACACAGCCCTATCAAACCCTGCAAAACCATATCATCAAACTATAAAGCCCGGTGAACAGAAGCCGTACAAACCCTCAACCCTAAACTCTAAGCCCTGTCTACCTATTGTAAACCCACTGAAGAAATTGGCCTGCGAGAGGGGAGAGTCGGCATCCGCGTTGGTGCCAGAGGACTTCTCCTCGACTAGACTTTGAATTCCAAAGGGCTTTACACTCCAGATATACATATACATGTATATAAGTATAAAGAAACTCATATAGGTATATATATATATATGTACATACGTATGTGTGTGTGTATATATATATATATATAACATACAAACACCTGCAGAAAGCACAATAGTCATAAAGAGCAGGAGCTACTTTTCAAGACGAGTCTCCGGCAGCTCAGGTATCGAGGACCGTGCTAGACGCGATTGAGGGCGACGGTCTGCCTGGGTCCCGGAGCGCCGAGTATTTCCATCTCTAAATCTGTATCCCTTCACGGTTTAGGGTTTAGGGATTTAGGGTTTAAGGTTTAGGGTTTAGGAGTTTAGGGTTTAAGGTTTAGGGTCAAGGGGTTTAGGGTTTGGGGGTTTAGGGTTTAAGGTTTAGGGGGTAGGGGTTTAGGGTAAATCTGCAACTCTATACCCAAACTTCCCGAACGCCTAAAGCCCCAAAGGCCCATCAGACCCTCCTCAACCCCCCCTTTTCTGAACCAGGTCGAACAATTCCAAGTACTATCCCTTTCCAGTCCCAGCGTAGCTATGCATACTAAAAACATACCCCAGTATCCGATTCCAAGTATTGGGGCGCCGGCGTGCTTGGCTATCAAACCCGATGAACACCCTTTCAAAAAAAAGAAGCTTCAACAGCCATGATAATCACAATAATATTGACAGTAGTACAATAGCAATGATCACAGTACTAAAACCTAAAACCCTTAAAACCATCTAAAACCCTAAACCCAGCTCACCCTTAAAGTCACCCCGCCTGGCTGGTGGAGGGCCGGCCCAGCATTCCAGCTCGCGAGCCGGGCCGGCTGCCAGATCGGCTGCCAGGGCGGCTGCTGGAGAACTCCTTGGGCTACACTTTGTGGGTTTTTTTTTTTGAACCCCTTTTTCCATGATGCAGCTGTACGCAGCCTCTTTGTAGGATCTAGGGCTTAAGAATTCGGGGTTTTTTCGGGGATTAGGGTTTTAGGATTTAGGGAAGTGTGGTTTTTTTGGTTTTAAGGGCTTTGGGGTTAAGGGTTTAGGGGCTTAGGCTTGAAGGCTTTGGGGTTTAGGGTCCCGGGCTTTGGGGTTTACCTGCCATCTACAACCTGCCTTCTTCAATGGCTCCTCATTATGATTGCCTTATGTAAGTTTTCAAAAAGGTAGGCTTTTAAGGGTCCAGGTAGGGTTTTGGACTTAGGGTCAGGGTTCGGGGTTTAGGGCCCAAGGTTGTGTAGGGGTGTAGCGCTTAGGGTGCAGAGTGAGGTTGAGAGCTTAGGTCGAGGCTTCATCTTTCAGTGGACGTGGGCTGTCTACATGATTCAGATCTTCGCAATAGGCTGTGATGTTTTGCAGCTTTAAGATAGGGCTTATAGGGAGCTCTCTGCGTGGAGGCAAGAGTCTATGTGTGTGTGTGTGAGAGAGTATGGTGTATGCATGTATGTGTATGTATGTATGTATGCATGGCTGTATGTATGCATGTATATACGTATACACAGATGTATAGACATGTTGTGTTCGTGGGACACCCATTCAGCCTTCATATTCATGCCACGCCCCTAAAACGTGACAACTTGAGGCCCACAACCCGTCCAAAACGACCATGAGCCATCAGAGCCGTACAAGAGAAACCTGTTTAGAATCCCTGTAGAACCTTACAAAACTCTCACAGAACTCCAAAACCCTAGAACCCTGAAAAGCGGTATGGAAAGCATCCATAATATGCCCAGTTCTCCTCAGTGGCCGTGGATGGTCGTGTGGAGATGTCGCTGGCTTTGACACCTAAGCAGCAGAGAGTTTAGGGTTTGGGGTATGGGCCTTGAGATGCCAATTCCCCTTACTTAAGGAATATACCTTAAATTGTAATATTAAGCCCCCTATAGTTTAAGGTATAACCCTTAATTAAGGGGTATTGGGATCTGTGGGGGTTTAGGATGACAAGTTGCCGAGTTTAAAAGCAAAGAGCCGAAAATCTGGATTCGTTTAAGGGTTGCGGCTGCGGGTTCGCGGTTTTAAGGGCATGCTGCTTTGGGATTTTTTGGTTCGGGATGCTCAGCTCTGAAAGGGAGCCCGAAAAGACACGGACAAATTCAAATAAGGGTACCATCTTATACCCTAAGCCTAAACCCTAGGCCCTAGACATCTCTAAACCCTGAGACCCATGCCCTGAACCCTGCACCATACTATACTTTATAATATACTATACTATAACAGACTATACTATAATATACTATACCATACTATACTATACTACTACAATATACTATAATATGCTGTACTATTATTCCATACTATACTATACTGGGGAACCAAGTCACCCTCTGCCGTCCATGGCCGTGCAGACAGGGGCAAGCCACCCGGCGATGGCGCACTCCGCCTTGCGAGTTGCCATAATATAGGGGGCCGTAATAATTAGAATAGGGTGTTAAAGGGGTCCTTAAAGGCCTACTATAAGAAATCTATATTGAAGGTACCTTTGTATGCTTAATAGTTAGAATAAGGCTTTGTGGTCCATTATAATAGAGTTATAATAAGGAGCCGCCAAAATGGTATTGGTAATTATTGAGGCCCCTATATGTTAAGTTGAGAAGAGTCAGTAGAAGAGCTTCGATACGGGCCCCTCAAGAAAAGCCACAGTCTGTTCATTCAAGCCACTAGCTTCTCACTGGCCCAAAACCCAAGGAAATAAAAGTTGAAACTTTCAGAATCGACTACCTTCTAAGAACGCCAAGAGTTGACAAGTTGAGTTTACAGCCACTAGCTTAAAACAACCTTAGCCTAAAACCCTTTTAAAACGCCGTTGCCTGCCCGGCTTTGAAAGCTGCCGGCCCGCATGTCCCAATGACATGCGCGGGGAAGTTCCCAGGGGCGCCACATGCACGGCTGCGACGGACAAAACAGAATCGGCCTAGCTCTGCAGGGTGTCAGCTACAGTGGCCTAAATTAGGGGCTGCGGGTTTAGGGTGTAGAGACTTGGGTTACTTAAGAGGCGGGTTATGGCAAAGATCCGGATCAAAGTAGACTAGGCTTCAGGGAGGGAGCATTGCGAATCATTCGGGCCTGCAGGTTAAAGAGCAAGTGGGATGTGCACTTGCTATGCTAAGAGCTCTTTTGCGCTAAGAAGCCTCTTAGGGTTTAGGGGTGGGTTCAAGGGTTAGGGTTTAGGGTTTAGGGTGTAGGGTTTAGGGTTTGGGGGTTAGGGTTTAGGGTTCAAGGGTCAGGGTTTAGGGTGTAGGGTTTATGGTTTGGGGGTTAGGGTTTAGCATTCAAGGGTTAGGGCTTGAGGCTTGTGGGATTGTGGATTGGGGACGCATGGCTGAAACAATGAGGCTGCGCCGACATCTACCCCATGGTGAGGATTCACTCTCCTTCTAATCAAGGTTTCTGACCAATGGTTAAGGCTAAGGTTACAGACTTCCAACGTTTCAGTTTAACCTTCATGTTTACGTACACTGTAATCTTGGCTGGTTAAACTTTTAGCCTCCTCATTATAGTTCATATAGAAACCCCAAAAGTTAAACTCCTAAAAGCCAACCAGAAGAACGCCAAGTAATTAAACTTCTCTAAGCCTAAACCTTAAACACTTGCTTCAAACGGTCAGGGTTCAGGCACCTGGAACTGCCAAACCCACCTCTGCCACCCCGCACAAGTAAGTTTCAACTTGGGTTTAGGTTTAGTTTAGGATCTAGGGTTTGGGGTTAGTTTAGGGCTTAGCAAGTCCCACCATTTCAGGGGACAAAGATACGCTTGAAGCTATAACTAACTCTGCAAACGGATCAGTGGCATGAGTTGAGGCTTTTTTTGCGTGACTTAAACAGACAAGCGGCATTCAGCTCCCTACACCCTATAAGCCCAACGCCCCGAATCAGTCAACTTGCAAGTGGTCAAGGCTTCCAGAGCATCGGCCGAAGATCGACTGGCTCAACGTGGCCTTACACAAGTAGGTCATAGCCCCTCAAATGGCGAAATTGCCCAAAACTACAAGGTAGCTGCGGCCCGCAAGGCGAGTACGATAGTACTTGTATAGGAACCTGAATAATTAGAAGAGCGTTTTGGGGCCCATTGTACTATACTTATAATATGAGGAACCCCTCAAAATAGTATAGATAATTAATTCGTAAGGCCCCTTTATTATGCAGTGATTTGCCTGGCATTCTTTCGAAGCCCAGGACTCCGTCGTGTGCCCACGGCCGCCAAACCGAAGACCCTAAACCGAGGGCTCCTAGGTACTGTTATGGGGAATACCTCCCCAAATCATGATAGTAGTTCCCAATTTAGAAACCCTATATTCTACTATATCAGTACTTTGGACCCTTTGGGTAAACCCCAATGCAGGAACCTGAACACTTCCAAGCTTTAGGGTTTAGGGGTTTAGGGTTTAGGGGTTTAGGGTTTAGGGTTTAGGGGTTTAGGGTTTAGGGTTTTCGGGTTTAGGGTTTACTTTATAAGCCCAAGCCCGAAAACCCAAGTTCCTAGACTCTATCTCCCCCAATAAACACTCACAATACATGACATACCCCGATGCCCCCATACACCTTACATGCACCTATATATAGGAAGCCTCAAAGCCCCGTATCCCGATTTCTCGTGACCTTTTCTTCACTGAACTGCGCAGCATCGGCGCGGGCTTTCCTGCTGCCGCGCCGCTCGCAGCGGGGAGGTGGAGGTGGTTGCCTCCTGCTTAAAGGCTCAAACACGACTTTTCTTGAAGTTGTTCATAGCGGCTCTCGAGGGTTTCCTGAATGGATTTAATACCAGTATTGGAAGGGTTCTTTAACGGGATTTTGCGAGGGTTTGGTTTTTGCGGGGAGTATTTTGTGCCATGTAGGAAACAGAAAGGACCAAAACAAAGCGCTGTTAGAGTCTGATGAGGGTTCCACATGGGTTCCATGACTTTCTTATGAGAAATATGGGGTTTGGGAATCCGCGGCCTTACTTGGAGGGGCAGGGGACTTAGTAAGCCGTTTATAAGTAGGGTTATAATTGGAGCAATTCCATTTAGGGCACTTATAACTCTACTTATAACCTACTTAGTAAGTCCCCTGCCCCTCCAAGTAGTGTAGGGATATCTACAAGCACCGCAGCTGTTTTGGACTAAGGTTCATAAGGTTACGGGCCTGGAGATGCTGGCTGAGGGCTGAGGGTCTACAGTAGAAGCCAGAAAGTTGGAATATCATTATCGTAACCCCTGTAAGGTAAATTATAGGGGATCCTACCATTAATCCATATTCCAACTTTCTGGAGTTCCCTTTAGGGGTTTAGAGTTTGGGGCTGTTTGGGGCTATGGTGAAAGGTGTGGGAGGGCGAGGGGGAAGTTAAGGGTCAGGGGTCTGTTGTCAACTGTTGTCACTGTTGTATGCTTAGGGCCTAAACTCGAAAACCCTTAACTGGATTTCTACCCGGCGTGCCGAGCTGAAGGCTTGTTTGAGTAGGCTTTCGGCACTGGGGATCCGGTTTCTTCCGAGGTTTGCCTCGTATTGTAGGGAGCCCTGGACCCTAAACTCCTCGATCTTCACATTAGATCAATGTCAACATAAACCCAACGTCCCCTAAAGGCGTGAACCCGAAACCCTATTGCCCTAAAAACCCTAAACCCTTTAAACCCTATAAACCCTAAACCCTAAACCCCCTGAAAACCCTAAACCCCTATAAACCCTAAACCCTTTAAACCCTATAAACCCTACACCCTGAAACCGGCCTCCGGAGTGCTTTGCTGGTCCTTCGCCGGGCGCCTGATGTCCCAAACCTGCAAATGGATTGCGGCAGAGCATGATGGTGGTGATGATGGTGATGATGATGATGACGACGAATGACATCGTTGATGATGACAACTTCGAGGATGATCTGCATGGCAGCAACGATCTGGAAACTTGTTGTAGATTGTAGATAAAGCGATGGTGATCCTGATGATTTTGCGATAGCGAGGGACCGTACATTGCAAGCGACACTGATGTGGATGTGGCTGATGAAAAGCAAGACGATGGCGAAACAAAATATCAGAAGGATAATGTCAATGTGGTTAACTGTATCATGATGCTGCTGCTGGTGGTGGTGATGGTGCTGCTGGGAAGGAAGCTAAGGAAGTGGCAAGATGAGGAAGGGGAGGAGGAGAAACATCGCGAGCATGAACACGAGATGAAGATGTAGATCATGAAGTTCATGATCAAGATGCCGGGCGAGCCGGTTACATGTCAGCAAGCAGTGTAGAACACCACGTCTCTCAGTGGATTGTCAACCGATGCAGCCAACTTATCTTTTCTACGTTTCTCATTCCTACCGACGCCGCGATTCATCCTCACCTCATCCGACTGATCCCATTCGTCGACTTCGTTTGCGAAGATTTTCTCCGCACCGGTAAGATCCAGATCGTCCAGGTCCTCGGCATCTGGCTGTCTACAGGATTTGGACTTAGAGCTGAGAGTTTAGGCTAAGGTGTCCCAAAGACTTAAGTCTTTGGGGCATCGACTGTCATCCTGACAACATCCGCGTAGAGCGTGGGGATGTGAAGATGTACCTGGCCCGTTCTCTGCATCCACCTGCCAAGTACATGACGGCATCTTCACAGCCAAACTGTCAAGCTATCACCTGAAGCGGTTTTGCCTTCGCATGTGAGTTTCAAGACATAAGGGGCCCCAAAATGGAACCTTGAATAATTTGGATCCGATGGATAGATAGACATATTGATTTCCGAAGCTCTATGGTAAAAACCAGAAAGTTGGAATATGATTTTCCTAACCCTTCTATGGTAAATTATAGGGTATCCTACCATGAAACCATATTCCAACTTTCTGGAGTTTCCTGTAGTATGACTTGTGAGCAGGAGACAACTGATTTTGATCTGCCTTGAGCATGTCATGTTTGACTTAAGGGCTCTCTACGGGTAAGACAGCAGCAGGCTCAGTTGGGCAAGACAGCAGCAGGCTCAGCTGACTCCGGCCAAGAAGGAACTGGCGCATGCGGAGCTGACACTCTATCCATCACAGCGCCGGGGCCAGTGGGGTATTCCGTTGACTCCTTGTGGCTATTAACAGCCGATTGAGCTGGGGCATCAGGCGTCATCTCATCTATTGCCAGCTCGTAGGCCACTGATGGTTCATAAGTGCTGCTGGGCTCTGCCGCTTCCTTGGCCTTGTAGCTTGCTTCGGAGTGCGGCTCTGCCATCTCAAAGCTTGGTTCTTCCTCCATCTCTGAATTAGCCATCTCATAGGTGGGTTCTTCCTTCATCGACTCCTCTGCCGCCAACTCGGCACCTGTAAGCTGGCCAGGTGCCGGCTGGGCCGCAGGCTCCGTCACCATAGGCTCGGCAGCGGTAGCCACCGGCTCAGCAGCCACCGGTTCGGGAAGCACGGCGGCCACGGGGGATGCGGCCACGGCTGGGGCCGGGGCTGGGGCTGCGCCGGTTGCGCCTCCCATTGGATCGACCTCAACGGCTGGCGGCTTCATTCCCTCCAGGTCGGACCTTACTTGTCAAGTTTCTTAGGGCCGCTGGAGCCCCAGCCTTGTGGTAGGGACAGATGAATAGTCATGGTACTAGTAACAATGGTAATACTAGAGTACCGCGACTAAGTCGAAGATTTATCAATATCAAGAGCACAACACTTAAAATAATCGCGGACAGTGGTATCACACCCAAAATCACAAGTTAACGGTTACTCATTACGTACTTATTCTACAGCTAAGGGGCACATTGAATTTGAAGTTCTTCAAGTCGTCAGGCACCTCCGCTTCTTCAAGACGAGCCTTCATTTCTTCATCCAGTGTGTCCAAGGAGATATTCGAGAATTCCTGGGTTCTTGTTAAGGAATCGGTTCTCACTGGCCCAAAGCCCAAGGAAATAAAAGTTGGAACTTTCAGAATCGACTATCTTATAAGAACGCCAAAAGTTAAACAAAGTTGAGTTTACAGCCAATAAGGACTTTAAATTACCATAACGGGGATCTTTTATCGACAATACCGTTTCCGTATTATTATGTTACCTTAAGTTAGATCCCTTGACAAGAACCCAGATTCCTCAGTGTCCAGGGGGTTCTTCTCCATGTGATTCCAGGGAGCATTCGGGTCATTCTCGCCAAAGTCAAGGTCAACCTTTTCCTCCTGCTGAACTTCTGGCACCCTTTCCTCGTTTTCCTCGGCAACCGCCGGCTCAGCCACGGGCTCAACAGGCTCAGTAGCCACGGGCTCCACAGGCTCAGCCACGGGCTCAACAGGCTCGGTAGCCACGGGCTCAACAGGCTCAGCCACAGGCTCGGCCACGGGCTCAACAGGCTCGGTAGCCACAGGCTCAGCCACGGGCTCAACAGGCTCGGTGGCCACGGGCTCAACAGGCTCAGCCACGGGCTCAACAGGCTCGGTAGCCACGGGCTCCACAGGCTCAGCCACAGGCTCAACAGGCTCAGCCACAGGCTCAGCCACGGGCTCAACAGGCTCGGTAGCCACGGGCTGCACAGGCTCAGCCACAGGCTCGGTAGCCACGGGCTCAACAGGCTCAGCCACGGGCGCAACAGGCTCGGTAGCCACGGGCTCAACAGGCTCGGTAGCCACGGGCTCAACAGGCTCGGTAGCCACGGGCTCAACAGGCTCAGCCACAGGCTCAGCCACGGGCGCAACAGGCTCGGTAGCCACGGGCTCAACAGGCTCAGCCACAGGCTCAGCCACGGGCTCAACAGGCTCGGTAGCCACGGGCTCAACAGGCTCAGCCACAGGCTCAGCCACGGGCTCAACAGGCTCGGTAGCCACGGGCTCAACAGGCTCAGCCACAGGCTCGGCCACAGGCTCAACAGGCTCGGTAGCCACGGGCTCAACGGGCTCAGCCACAGGCTCAGCCACGGGCTCAACAGGCTCGGTAGCCACGGGCTCAACAGGCTCAGCCACAGGCTCGGCCACAGGCTCAACAGGCTCGGTAGCCACGGGCTCAACAGGCTCAGCCACAGGCTCAGCCACAGGCTCAACAGGCTCGGTAGCCACGGGCTCAACAGGCTCAGCCACAGGCTCAGCCACGGGCTCAACAGGCTCGGTAGCCACGGGCTCAACAGGCTCAGCCACAGGCTCGGCCACAGGCTCAACAGGCTCGGTAGCCACGGGCTCAACAGGCTCGGTGGCCACGGGATCCTGTTTACCGGATACTTTCGTGGCCACTGCAGGGAGTGCCACCTGCTTGTTTGGCAAGATCAAGGCATAGGAACCAACGCTTAGGAGGGCTACCAAGAAGCGGATCATGGCAGCCATGATGCGTCGGGCTTCGTTTGAGAACTGCCGGAGATGCACGGCTCTTCGGAAGTCTGCTGAATGCTTGGGCCACGTGACCAGCCGCCAAACAAATCAACAAGCATCTCTGATAATATGGAAAAACGAAATCTGCAGACCATCATGTAGCAGTAGGATAGACGTCGCAAGAATCAATGCCTCTGTTCCCAGGCGATTCTTGTGCACTTACTGAACATAGAGTATACTCCCAAACCCCAAGTACACAAGACGACACCATGCCACACGTCGCTACACCAAGCTACATTACACTGGATTGCAGTAGCTTACACGAGCTTACGCCACTAGATTAAGTTACACAACACTGCGCCACGCTACACGACTCGACACTGCCGTAGCACTAACAGCACTACCGCAGACCAATCACACAAAGACTAACACCACAATCTCTAAGACCGCGACTAATGCTAATACGACACGAGTAGATCAGGAATACTCAACACTAGTAATACTAGGACTCGCATTAAAATACTGTTGCGCATACTCCTAAAGGTTTTAGCACGAATGTGAAGACGAAACGAATACACATACTATAAGCTCTATTAGTTTGTATGTCCAAGGCTCATCATCCACATTCGTTGTTCACGTATTGCATCGTGATTGCTGCTCTTCCTAGTACTTAAACAGATTATAGCACTCGTTACCACAAGAACCGTTCTGGTAGCCTGGTTGTTGCCATTGTAAAAAACTTCGACGCTCTTGCTATGTTGTTGTTGCTACTCAACTTGTTACTATCATGGCTATACTAACTCAGCGACTACCAGTATTGCAAAGATGCTTTACTTTTCGCGCCAACCCCCAAAACTCCAAACCCTGAACTCTAAAACCTTTAGACTACCCATAGGCTCCATAGTAGTTCCTCTTTGGGATTACCTTATACGGTTCTACATATGAAGTCCAAAAGGAAGTACCATGGAGCCTGTGGGTAGGCCTTTAAGACTAGGTCCCAACCCATACACTAGACCCAAGCGTATCCTAGAAATAAAACGGGTGCCCTTTTTGGTTTAAACGGGGTTATAAAGGGAACCTATACCCGAAAAAAATGAATAAGGGCCTACTCTGGGTCCTACGGTTGATGATATAAATCCTGCATTACCTGAAGGACCCTAAACTATGGGAATTATGGTATATTCCTTATTATGGGTAATGCAGGATTTCATCAACCGTAGTACCCTAAACCCTAAACCCTTTCCCTCCAGATCCGAAACCTTAGCCCCCAAAGCCCAAACCCTCCCCGAGGGCCTACTCTGGGTCCTAGTACAACTTAAACCGGCCCAGGCACAATGTCGATGTTGAAGCTCAACTCACTACTGGAGTCGCTCTTCGCATCCTCTTTGAACGTAAAGTGAAAGCCAGAAAGTTGGAATATGGTTATCCTAAACCCTTTATGGTAAGTTATAAGGTATCCTACCCTGAAAACATATTCCAACTTTCTGGAGTTCCCTTTATGGTTTAGGTTAGAAGGGGCCCCCACCCTGTAATAGTGACTATAAGGATAATACAGGGTTATATTAGGGCCCTATTATATTCCTATTATACCACTACTACTGGGTGGGGGCAGCTTCTAAGGCTTAGGGTTAAGGGGCTTAGGGCTTAGGGCCCTGATAGTTAGAACAGGTTTTTGGGGGTATATTGTACTAGAACTAGAATACGGAACCCTAGCACCAATATTGGCATTTATTTAGGCTTCTACAGTATATAAGGGTTTACAGTTTAGGGCTTTAGGGTTCAGGGTGCAGAGATTTAGGGTTGAGGGTTTGCCAAACTCGTAATCAAGACACAATCCAAATCCCTAAGCCCCTAAGCCTTGCAAGAGATCCCGAACCGTGCACAACCAACGAAAGCATCCTCAATCATTCTCACAACACCACTCGCACAAACGTTGGCTGACATGCACACACTCAAACAACATGAGTTGATAAACAGGCGTCCGCACGCACTCCTTCGACGAGCAGACACGCACAGAGACAAAGCCAGAGACAGACAGACGAACGGACGGACGGACGGACAAACGGACAAATGGACAAACGGACAAACGGACGGACGGACGGATGCAATGCATCATCACGTCGCAGCCGGAGCCATGTTCACTCTCAATTTGGTCTAGCTCTGCATGCCTATGACAAATGCCTGCCCCAATCAAGTGTTAAAAAACCCCACAATACTGGACAAGCCCTTAATGGACATGCAAGGAGCATGCTGGTTGATGGTTTGAAAGCAAAGCCTTAGCAAAAAACGCAATGAATTCACTGCGTGTGCACCCTCTACCCCCCAAACCCGAAAACCCCGAAGCCCTACAGCAGCAGAGTGTGAAGCCCTGAACCCTAAACCCGTGGGCCCAAAGCCAACCCAGGAAACTGAACACACCGTTTGATCATAGAAGCGCTGATAAATCTCATGCTACAAAGCGTAGGGTTCAAGCTTTGAGGCTTAAGCATCAATGGTTTCTGACCACAAGCCGCAAAACCCTTTACACTTTTTTCCCAAAAACAAAACACAGCCTCCAGCCCCCTCTCTGAGCCCGACGCACTCCGGCCAAACCCTCAACCCTCGATGAGCTCCCTAGGGTTTAGGGTTTAAGGCTTGCGGTTTAGGGTTTAGGGTTTAGGGTTTGCACCCCGAAACATAAAACCCCGACACATCTTGAACTTAAACCCCAAACCCGGAAACCCAGCAGCTGGAAGCCCTAAAGGCCCAACAAGATGCTACATACGCTGGGACCCCGAAACCCCCATCAACCAAACCGAAAAACCCTGAAACCCGAAAGCCTCAAACCGTGTTTACATATACCTTGAAGGAAGCTTTCGCAACTCCGCTGGCCTTGTAAATCCCGGTAAACCCCGTAGTCATTATATAGGTCTTGCACCCAAGACACTTCTGACAAAGCCTTGTTTATGTTAAGGTTCCCCAGTACCACCCTAAAAATCAAGGTACCCTGTTTCCGACTATTTGGTTTTCATAAAGAAACCCAAGAAGAACACGGGCAAAAGGGTACTCTTCGGGAACCCGAGTTGTACCCACCACAGTGTAATCCCTTCAAAGAAGCCCCCGGCCGAGCACAAAAGGTGCCTCTGGAACCCTGAGATGCACGAACTTGTCAATCGGAACAACCCTAGAGACTCCAATATCCCTTAATAAATGGGAATATTCCTTAAATCGTATCAAAAATCCAAGTATAGTTTAAGGAATCTTCCTTAATTGAGGGATATTGGAGTCTCTGGGACTCTAAAGCACACTACGCCCTTAACCTCTCAGACTGAGTGGATAAGTCAATCACCCCCTCCACCCTCTAAACCCACAGCAAACCCAAAACCCTTAAACCTTCAAACCCTAAACCTCCCATACCCCTACAAACCCTACAGCCCTAAACACCAAAAGCCGTAAAACCCCAAACCCTAAAAGCACCAAAAGCCAAGCAACCCTAAAGCCCCAACCCCCGAACAGCCCTAGAATCCTAACCCCCATGCACCCCCCAAACTCCAAACCTCCAAACAGCGTTTTGGGACCCATTATACCATTGGGGCCCGTTCTATAGAGCCCTACTATAGATCCCTTATAGACCGCTTTAAAGGGACCCCCCACAGTAGTATAGGTGACTAGTTCAGCCCCTATAGCAAAGCCTCGACCCCCCAGGAGGGTCCTGGTAGCGAGCCGCCTCTCGTGCTGCAGAGAAACCGGTCCAATGTCCCAGCCCTCCTCACAGTTCCGGCTTAGGTTTTTAGATTCTCAGGGTTTAGGGTTAGGGGTTTAGGGGCTTAGGGGTTTAGGCTTTTTAGGGTCCCCAGAAAAAGGTCTCAACTAAGCTGGGGCTCTGGTTTACGGCTTGGGGGTTTAGGGTTAATTAAGGCTTATAGTTAAGGGTGTGCGGTTTAGGGTTTAGGGTTCAATGGGGTGTATTCTTTAGGGATGTATGGGGCTTTGAGGCTTAAGCTTGTTTCGGGGCTTCGAGGGTTTCGGGTTTCAGGGTGTCGGTTAGGCTTAGGGTTTATAGGGTCCAATAGGGTTGCGTGTTGGGCTTCATAAAGGGATCCTGAAGCTTCATAGGAGGCTCATTTGGTTCAAAACTCCTTAGCTAGGGCTAAGGGTTCTGTCAGGTTTCGTATGGGTTGGGTGCCATAAGGATTGCTTTATGTGTCAGCTTATCGAAGCTGCAAAAAGAGATCGCACCTTGAATTGTAGCGGTATCCTGGGTATGAGTGATTAAAGTTGCATTGCTGAAGTGAGGAGTCTTGGGTTGGGGTTCGTGGCGCGAGGCTCGGAAGCTATTTAGGGCATGAGGTGGTGGGGGCTAGGGTTTGGGTCTCCGGGCGCAAAAGCTCAAGCGATCTTTGGTGCTGATTTTAGGGTTGAGAGCCTAAGCTAACCCATCATGCATGAATGAAGTCCAGATGAGACTGACGAGCATGGACAACTTTCTTCCTCTACCTAGACCCTCCATCTACCCTCTATCAGACCCTAAATGCCCATTATTTGGGGCCCTTCACCACTCTTTGAGGTTAATTACAAGGAGGGTCCTGGTATAGTCCCAACGTAGTACAGTCGTACTATGCTCTCCTAATTAGGGTCTCCGAGCTCACAGGCTTTTAGACCCTACCTGGTGCGCTCCTAGTGTTGGGGATATTACACCTAGAGTGTCTATACACATATAATTATACTCATGTATTTATTTACACACACACAGACCTGTCGATGATAATATATATATATATAGATATATAGATTTATACACATACATACATACATACATATATATATATATATATATATGAGCTTAAGATGCTGAGCTTGGAAGATTTTGGGACGTCCATAGTCAGAATAAGGTGTTAGGTTACCTTGCAGTATACTATGTAATAAGAACCCGAGGAGTAATGTGTGTATATACAAAATCCGAAATCCTGGCCCCCAAACCGGAAATCATGTTGCAGGGATCAAGCTGCGTTCCGGAAAGGGGGCCTGTTTGTGGGCTCTGGCATGTAGAAAGCAAGCTTCACGAAGCACTGACAGAAGCCCTAAACCCTACTCGGAGGAGTCGGGAAGGTATTAGGTGGAGTTATAGCTAAACTGCAAGGGATGCCACCTAGTTGGAGCACTTCTACATAGGCACCCTTCTGAACAGTTACTTGCAAAGTCCCCTGACCCCCCAAGTAAACCCCACACCCTGAAGGCAGCTATCTAAAGGGTCTTAAGTAGGGGTATCTAGTCGCCCAGGCCAAGATACCTATAGGATGAAGCTGGGACGAGTGGCGAGACTGATGTCAAAATTAATTACGCCCCCCCCCCCCCCCCCCCCAACCAAAAAAAAAAACAAAAGGCTCCATGTACCTTTATAGTAGATACTTAAGCCTTAATTAAAGGGGTCCCTACATAGCTACTTTAAAGCCTAAGTATATACCTTTTACGTACATGGAGCCTAAGGGAAAACCCAACACCATGAATCCAAATTGCTACACCCGACGCTACGCTTGAAATATGTGGCCGAAGCACCAGAGCGCTCTGGTCCGGTAGCCTGGGGCCATGGTAGGGTTACGAATGCTCGGAACATGACAGTTGGGCCTGAACCCTGAACCCTAAACTCTAAAGCCTATACCCTAAACCCTATACCCTAAACCCTACACCCTAAACCCTATACCCTATAAACCCTATACCCTATACCCTAAACCCTATACCCTAAACCCCTAGTTGCAATTTCAAGCGGGCAGCAGCAGCAGCAGCAGGTGGTGCCCGTAGCTACGAGGCGAGGGCTTCGCATTTCCGCAATTTTGGTCTGTTGTTGGTCCATGTATACTACCGTTACGGAAGTACTTAATTCCATAATGAAAGTACAGATGGACCCTCCGGGTAACCATGGAAATTTCGGGCTTTAGTGGCGTTGTTCCACTGCTGTTGTTTGTTTCGCAGTGTTTAGTTCATGCCCGGCACGGTTGTCGTGATGTGGTACTGTCATCGTTTTGCAACTGTTCTGGCCGCAAAGTCTACGAGAAGTTGCTCTTTTTGGAGTCGGCAGAGATCCCCAAGCTAAGGATTTATGTGCATTTGAGATGTTGGGGGCCTTGCTAGCACTGCACAGGTTACATGGCTTCGGAAGGACCTAGGTCCATGTGCTACTGCTACTGTTAGTGCTCTTCCTACCAGTACTGGGCACTTACTGCTAGTACTGCCCCGACGACGACCACCATCACCACCACAGCCACCACGACGACGACAACAGCGACGACTACTACTGCGACGAGGACTAGGATGGTTGATACTCCTGCTGCGGCTCCTGCCTGATCGCGCCATCACGACACGCCCTTTTCTTCTTCTGACTATGGCATGTGTACTGTTGTGACAACTTCCGGGAATATTGCCAGCCAGTAGTATGCTTGCATCTGCAAATCAAGTACGTAGCTTTTCCCGCCATATGGACCATATCGGACCCTTGACACTTACCAAAAAAACCCGAAACGCCTAAACAAACTCCCGTGAGAACCGTAATAAAACTAATATGTTCGATATTCTCTTGGGTCTTTAATGAAAAAAGGTAGAAAAAAACTCCTTGACGCCCTAACCCAGCCTCTCTGGCTTGCGAGCTGGGCGGAACCCAATGGGAGCCCAGGCCGTGTGCATCGCGCTCTCGGTCCTGTCACGGTTTCAGCTGGACTTTGAGATTGGTACTTTCTCGGACCATAGATAGATAGGTAGCTAGATAGATAGACAGGTAAATAAATAAACAGACAAACAGAGAGACTACATGAATACATAGACAAAGTTAGTAGTTCTACATACTGGTATATCTTGGCAAAGCTGAGTAGGGTCCGAACGAGGCTTGTGGGATGTCTTCGAGTGGTGTACAATATGCGAAATCCCCCAATTAAGGCCCTGCGAAGGACAAATACGGTGGTTTCTGACTCACGAGATTTTGAAGTCTTCACTTCACCGCTCGAACCTGGATTTTGTGAGTTTTTTTCCTGAATTCTATGCCTGACTTGTAAATCGCCATAGTATGGCCATATTTTGGGGGCTTAGGACCTAGATGTTCTCCAATCCAAGCATGCAAGGAGTTTCTGTGGATCCCGCCGTCTGCACTGAAATAAATGCACTGTGTAACGCCCAAGGGGTCCAAAGTACTGATACAGTAGAGTGTAGGGTTTCTATATTCGGAATTACTATTATGATTTGGGGAGGTATTCCCCATAACAGTACCTAGGACCCTTTGGGACGAGATCAGCATCTCCGGTTCGCAAGACCTTCGGATCTGAAACCACGAAATCCGTCCGCTTAAGCGTGGGTTCGAGGGATGGTGCAGGCTCTTGGGGGATTTTGAGGGGCGGGGGCCGCCAAAGATGCGGAGCAAACGGGAGCAGTGCTCACTGGTGATGTGCAGGTTCTGTCTTGGTATGCTTGCGTGCTTCTATCAGCAAGTTCACAAGTGCAGATGGTACTATGCCAGCATTGCGATCATGACTCCAACGGTAACGGCCGTAAACCGCAAACCCGAAACCCCCAAAATACTGTCACGCCTGGCCTTGCGGTCGTTCTCTTCCTGCTGCCGCTGCTTTCTCGCATCGGCGCGCTCCTGAGCGGATCTTCTGAGGCGCACAGACCTGGGGTCTTAGGACTCCTTTTAAGGGATCCCTTAAAGGCTTTAGAGTTTACGGTTTAGGGTTCTGCTTCAAGGGATCTACAAGTCATGGTTTCAAAACTAGAAGAGTGAAGAGATGTGAAGAGTTCAGAGTCGGAGTTTCTATGGTTCGGGTGTGAGTCTAGTGGTCAACATCGCCGGCAAGCACGTCAGAAAGGAGACGGAAGCACTTTGCACAACCAAAAAGTCAACGTAGAATGGAGCCATGGGGCTAGGCAGTCGCAACCACAAGCGAAGAAAAAACAAAGCAGAGCTCTTGAAGCGCCACATTCAAGCCAGTAGCAACAATCCTGCGTGTTGACGGAAGTATGCCAAGTCACTTGTCTGCTTCCAGAAGAGGTTACCTAAACCCAAAGTCCCTGTTATGTTGAACCCTAGATACCTAAACTTCTAAACCGGAGGGGGGAAACCCTGAAACCCACATTCTGGACTCCTAAAGCCGTACACTCTATGGGGATTTCCGAAAATAGGGGACCCCAATATAGCACCCTGACCCTAATTAAATTGTAGGATCCGTATCGATTACGAGGATCCCAAAATGAGGTACCCTGAAATTTTCGGAATCTCCCGTATACTACTAATTTTCGCGAGCCTTGTTTCGGCACTATGTAAGAGAATCCACTGTGTAAAAAGCTACCCCTTCCAGAAATCACATTGAAAGTATTCACTTTACGAGTTTTGCTTTTTTTTTTGTTTGATTTTGCGCACATGCTCGTTTTTGAAGCAGTTTTTCTGTATAACCGGGGGCCCCGCAGCATAACCGGAGGGGGAAGGGGGGAGTTTGCGCATTGAGATCCAGCAGCAGCCTGAGATTTAGGATTTTGGGGTTTAAGGGTTTAGGGTTTTGGGGATTAGGGTAAGGTTTCAAGATTTTGGGTAGTAGGCTCTTCTACTACTAATATTAATACTAATACTAATACTAATACTAATACTAATACTAATACTAATATTAATATTAATACTAATACTAATACTAATACTAATACTAATACTGATACTAATACTCATACTAATACTCATACTAATACTCATACTGATACTAAAACTAATACTAATACTGATACTGATACTGATACTGATACTGATATTAATACTAATACTAATACTAATACTAACACTAATACTAATACTAATACTAGTACTAATACTAATACTAATACTAATACTAACACTACTATTACTACTACTACTACTACTACTACTACTACTACTACTAATACTAATACTAATACTAATACTAATACTAGTACTAATACTAACACTAACACTAAGACTACCAAAAACAAATACTGATACCAAAAACAAATACTGATACTAATACTAATACTAATACTAATACTAATACTAATACAAATACAAATACTAATACTAACACTAATACTAGTACTAAGACTAACACTAGTACTAGTACTAGTACTAGTACTAGTACTTGTGCTAGTACTAGTACTAGTACTAGTACTAGTACTAGTACTAGTACTAGTACTACTACTACTACTACTACTACTACTACTGCTACTGCTACTGCTACTACTACTACTACTACTACTAATACTACTACTACTACTACTACTACTACTACTACTATTACTACTACTATTACTACTTCTACTTCTACTACTACTACTACTACTACTACTCCTACTCCTACTACTACTACTACTACTACTACTACTACTACTACTACTACTACTACTACTGCTATTATTACTACTACTGCTACTACTACTACTACTACTACTGCTACTACTACTACTACTACTACTCCGACCACTACTTGGGTTTGGGTTTGCGGGAATTTACGGGTTTAGAGGTTTAGGGCTTAGTGTTAGGGTTTGGGGGTTGGGAGTTTGGGTTTGTGCTCTCTTGGGTGCTTAGGGTTTAAGCTTTAGTGCAGAGGTCTGGTCTAGGTTTGGAGTTGGAGATTCTGGGCAAGTTCACCGGCGTGTGACCGTCTAGGGTTTCCGTGGGCCGTGACGGACGTTTATGCAAATTACGGCATTTATGGCGGATGTCGCTGCATAACGGTCCTCCCGGCCGCATAAGACGGCCACTTCCGCATAACTTCCGCATAACTTCTGCATAATTATCGCGCAACTTCTGCATACGCGCGATAATTATGCAGAAGTTATGCGGAAGTTAAGAGCTAACTAAGAGCACAACTTCTGCATATATGCAGAAGTTGGGTTTGGGTCCGCGCGATAATCTGCATAGGCCCAGGCGGTCTATGCAGAAGTTATGCGGAAGTTATGCGGAAGTTGCTGTCCTATGCAGCCCGGGGGGGCCTTATGCGATTTATAGCGGATGTCGCTGCATAACGGTCCTCCCGGCCGCATAAGACGGCCACTTCCGCGTAACTTCCGCATAACTTCTGCATAACTATCGCGCAACTTCTGCATAAGCGCGATAATTATGCAGAAGTTATGCGGAAGTTAAGAGCTAACTAACTAAGAGCACAACTTCTGCATGCGCGATAATCTGCATAGACCCAGGGGGTCTATGCAGAAGTTATGCGGAAGTTGCTGTCCTAGCTGGACCCTGGCCTGGGCCACCCCTGCCCCAGTAATGCCATGATGTTTTGTCAGTTGTCTTGTGCTTTGCTGCTGGTTGTGCATTGTCTGGTGGGCCGGGGCAGGCGGGGGAGTCTATGGCACCCCGCCGGGGGGCACCCCAATTATCGCATTTTAGTTTTTCGATAAACACTTTGGATGATTTTCACCTGCATTTTCGGCTTTAGTCGTTTTTTCACCTGCAAAATCCTATGGTAAGGTAAGCAGGTCCCAAACCGCAGCCGAAACAAGGCTCGCGACAATTAGTACCGTATACTTGATCCCAGACATGTGCGCCGGGTCCTTCTTGCGGGCCTCGGCCTCCGCGCGTTGCTCCCGCGCTGCGGCTTCCTGTCGGGTCGGGTCGGATTAGGGTTTATTTGGAGCGGCAGGGGACTTAGTAACTAGGTTATAAGTAGAGTTATAAGTATCCTAAATGGAGCTACCTCTATAACCCTACTTATAAATAAGTCCCCTGCCCCTCCCTTCAGTTTTAGGGTGTAGGGTCGAGGGTTGAGGTCCAGGGTCGAGGGTCTTCCTCTGTGTTTGGCCTAAAGAACCTCCTTTGTTTTTGGGATCCTTATTATGGCTTCCTTATGCAAGTCATTAAAAAAGGGTTGGGGTTTCATAATTCTAGTGCTCGAAGGAGTTTAGGGTCTTACAGTACGGGTCTTGGGTTTACGGGTCTCGGGCTTATGGTTTAACAAGACTCCGAATTTCTTCCTTTGCTGTGAGGCTTTAGAGCTCTGCTTATAGACTTGCTGATAGACTTGTGATTTCGGCTAAACCCTAAACCCGCGAAGAGCTGTACCACTAGTTATTCAACAATCGAATCCCCAAAATCCGAAACCCTCACACTCCCCACCCTGAGATCGCCGACTTTACTCCACCAAGAATGCCGAGAACCCTTGGTAAACTGGGTTCTTGTTAAGGAACGTAGCTTAATAGCTACCATAACGGGATCTAGTGTATAGCAGGGTTTCCTTGGTATGATAACTTGAACTAAACAAGAACAGCGCTACCTTCAAGAACTCCCTGCAGAAGCTCTTATGTATTGAATCCCTTTCGAAACCTCTCAAACATGTCAAGCCCGTATATAAATCCTATCACGCCCTTTTTCGACCCTGCTAAATACACCGATGAGAACTCCTGAAAATTTTGGTGCAACCCTATAACTGTACAACCCCAACCCCAAAGGGTCCAAGTATCATCATGGGACATACTTAGACCCCCAAAATGCCCTATAAGTATATACCAGGATGATACTTGGACCCTTTGGGAACAAATAAAAGACAAACCCAAAAGGTCATGTAACCGTCCAACCTCGGCAGACTCACGCGGCGCCGCTCGGGAAGGACGGGCACCCGTTCTTTGCCAGCGCTCCTGAAGATGGGTGTTTGTGTTTCCGAAAGGGTCCAAATATCATTTTGGTATATACTTATAAGGTACTTTGGGGGTCTAAGTATATACCAGAATGATAATTGGACCCTTTGAGTTTCCGGTGGCCCTGATCGGGTTGCGCAAACGCTTTCGACGTGTTCTACAATGAGCGCATTTGCGTCTGCAGCTGTTTGGACTTTTGCCTTGAGGACTTACTTATGTAAAAGTAAATCTGTGTTTGTATATATATATATATATATATATAAGCAAATTGAAGTGTATATAGTATATGTCGGTATAAGCAAATCGCAACAATAAGCCCGGAAGTTGGAAGACATTCGCTTCGGGTAGTGTCTGGTCTTTCGGGTTCTGGATCCGGGTTTCAGAGTTATCCTGGTTGAGATAGTTGAGATCCGAGCGTTCGGGTTTTCAAGTCTTTTACAAGGAGTCTCTACCATCTAAGCCCCTAAACAATATTGGGAGTTTCCGAACATAGGGGCCCTGATATAATGCCGAAAATAGTCGGATCCTTATTAAAAGGACCCCAAAATAAGGTATAAGGCCCAAACCCATAAACCCTTTCAAGCCATAACCTGTAGGCCCCGCACCCTAAACTAAAAATCCCAAGCCTTGCCCCCCCCCCCCCCGCCCCCCAAGTGCCTTTCATAGAGTCCTTTTGGGCCTTAATAGTGGGTATTTCGGGTATGATAGAGGGTAGATGGTGGGCCCAAGTATATCCAGAAGCTACCTTCACCGCAACTACGTGTCCGAACCTCCGAACTCCAACCTATCCTGAGACTTCACATAGCCCCAAGTGGGTATATACTAGTTGGCAGACATGAGACCTCAAAGTGGGGTACGGTTTAGGGTGTAGGGTTTAGGTGCATACTTGCAGTCATATGGTCTCTCCGAGACCCTGCAAAACATGATGCCTTAATGTATAGACTAGGGCTCCTTTCAAGAACTTGAAGGGTTCCACCAAGACACCTTCCGTAATGTAGGGGCCTTAGAGTGGGATACTACAGTAAGGTATGCGAGGGATACGCTTGCAAAATACCCAAGCCTTTCCCTAAGGGTCCAAAGGACCCAATAATTAGGTACTCGGTTTTAGGATAGTAGCTGTGTAGGTTAGGATTTGGGAGAGTATATGATTATTGGGTACTTGGACCCTGGGGGTTTGTGTTAAGCCCAGGGGCCTAAGCCCGATGCCGTAAGCAGTAAACATCAATCCTAAACACGACATTCCAATTTGCTTTACTCTACGCCGTATCTCCATTCATTCACTCGATTTGCTGGCCTCTGCCCTTGAAGTGCTCTGTGCACGGTGGGCCGTGCGGTCGGCGTCGTAGGCAGCACGCTGCTGGTCGTCACCCAGAACCTCCGGATCGTGTTTGTGTCTGAGGGTCCGGGCTTCAAACTTAAGGCGTGGTGTCCTTTTCAGGCATTCCGAAAGGGCGTTCTGGAGTTCAGGATGTACCGCTTTACAGCTCGAGCTTTAGCGCAACCCAGTAGCACTGTGGTATTGAGGCCCAGGTTTCATGGGTGGGCACCATGCACATCGCTCCTTTTACGAAGCCGGAAGACTAAGCACACAGCAGTCATCCAAGAACGTCAAAGTTTCCACAACAAACCTTGACATCAGAAGATCCACTTGTCTTCACCATGCATCATGATCCCGAAGACTCGTGAAGGATTCTCTGCCACCCCAAGCCAAAGACCAAGTAATCAATTAGACATCGCGGCGGAGGGCCCAGAGCAGAATGCGGAGCTAAAACAAAATGGACAGCATGAGCAGGTATAGGGCTTGTTGCTTAGGACCTCAAAGTGGCATGTAGCATGTGACACATCAAACTAACTAACCAACCAGAAGCCCGAAGCCCTCAACCCTGCACTTAAAAAGCGGAATGCCCCGACACTTCACCTCACGTCAGACACCCTGTCAAAACTTGACCCCCGCCGCAAACTCTCAAATCCTAAACACATACCCTAACGCCTCGAGCATGAAGAAGAGCCCCTGCAGACAAGAAGACCCCTATGAAAGGGGAAAAGGAGGGACCCTTACGGGGAACCCTACCCTGTAATGGGCTATATAATGGGTATATAACAGCTATATTAAGGGTATATACCTAGCGGTCATTAAGGGTCTCCTTTACCCTCGGTCCCTAAGGTTCCACTTGCCAGATCTACTAGAACCCTATGTGCCCAGGCTTCGCCAAGAAAAGGCACCGGAGTCCGTGCCTCCCAGGCTTTCGCCACCTGAGGGATGGAGGGTTTCGGACTTGGGTTTAGGGTTGAAGGCTTAGGTGTAAGGTTTCAGGCTCAGTTTTAAGGTTTAGTGTCTAAGGCCTGTAGGGTTTAGGTCTTGGGTTCCAGCGCTGACAGGCAACAGCCAAGTTACCTAAACCCTAAACCCCCCAACCCTAAAACCTAAACCCTGAACCAAGGGAAAGAGCTAAGGTAGCAACTCCTTGGTCCCTGGACGGTCAAAGTTTAAACAACGGCAGCAAGCACGAACCAAGAGGCCGAGTCATGTGGGTAGTTGTCAATATTAGGGTCCCTTTTTGGGCACCCTAAAGATTAGGTGCTGTATTATAATAAGGACCCCAAAGGGGACCCTAATATTGACAACCACCCATGTGATAGTATTTGTAGGGCAGGAAACCCTGAAACCTAAATCCTGGAGCCGAGGGTCCAGGGTTTTAGGTTTCCGGGCGGCTTCTGCATACTAGCCCGGTCTTAATATATTGGGTTTAGGGTTTAGAGGGGCCTTAATAATCAGTCTGTAGCTTTCTTTTTGAGGGGAGGGGGGGTATGGTATAGAATAAACTGATAATGAGCTCTATGGCATGACCTCGGTAGCTATTGGGGCTTCTACGTGAATAGCTTTCCCGGCTTCAACGTACAGCCGGACCCCAGCTAAAGACAGCAGCTGAACAAACACCCTCGGCAGACGTTTGAATTGCAAGGCCGCCATAAAACACACCAACCAAACCCAAACCGACACCCAAACCCTGAATCCCAAACTCTAGACTCGAGACCCTAAGCGCTCAAACCCAAACCCGAATTGTTCACTGGCCCAAAACCCAATGAAATAAAAGTTGAAACTTTTCTTTTAAGTACCCCAAAAGCTGAAAAGCCGAGTTTACAGCCAATGCGATTGTTCTGTAGCAACCTTTGAGGCTTCTATCTTTGGAGGTTGAAGGGTTTACTTGAGGATCGGGGGACTCAGTAAGTTAGGTTATAAGATAAAATAACGTTAATTGGGTTTCAGTAACTATAAGTATAGTTACCTTAATTATAACCCTAGGTACTAAGCCCCATGATCCTTCAAGTAGACCCTAAACGCTAAACCCCATAGATCCCTTTAACGGACCCCTATAGATGCCTTTTAAGGAGCCCTTTTTAAGGAACCCCAGGTACTAAGTCCCATGATCCTTCAAGTACGGCCTGGGACTCGGGGGGGTTTCGAGGTTTAGGGCCGAGGGTGTGGGACTTAGACGCACGACCCGTGAAAAACAGACACCTACTAGTACCCTAAAGATGGGTTACAAGTTATAGGTGTGTAGTTACCCTACTTATTAAATTTCACTAATGGCTATAACTACCCATGAACCTCCAAAAGTCGGATCCTTAGTATAAGGACCCCATACTAAGGTTTTCTCTGATTTTCGGAAACTCCAATGTCTGACACACCTAGACCCTCCATCTACCCCTCTATTAGACCCTAGATTCCCATTATTTGGGGCCATATTCCCCTATTTGAGGGTATAAGGAGGGGGTCCTGGAACTTGCATCAATATTCATAGGAACTTTATCGGTAGGGATGGCGTTTCGGAGTTGATTGTACTACAAGTATACAGGGATCGTATAAACCAATAGTTAAAGGAATACGATTTCAAAGTCTCGCGACTTTGTCCCGTAGTCCCGCCTGCTGAAACCGCTGCTTAGCTTGCAGCTTCGCTTCCTCCGAGCTGTCGGGGGGAAGCTTGTCCGGATGCGTCTGCCGCGCCTTCTGGCGGAAGGCCTGGAATCAGATAGGGTTTAGGGTTTAGGGGTTTAGGGTTTAGGGTAAGGTTTCACCAAGGGTTGCTTCAAGGTTCCGAGCAGTGTTCTATAAGGGATAGGGCGGTTAGGGTTCCGAAAGCAGATGAGTTATAGCGTTTGGAAAACACAGGACAACCGACCATAACCCTGAAGATGGCGATCCATGTAGACGAGCCAGGTTGGTCATGGGATTGAGGGTTTGTGGTTTAGGGTTTAGGGTCTGGGATCCAAGCAGGACTCAATACTGAGGGATGAACCACAACCCGAAACCCCAACACCCCGAACGCCCAAACCCTTGACCCCAAACCCCTAATCCCCAAACCCAACATCCTCACACCTTGAGCCCGAAAGCCCGAAATCGCAAAACCCCCCAAAACCCAAAACCCTTTATTCTGACGGCGGAAATTGGCCCGCTGTCGATCCTCCAGTCCGAACATCGGGGCAAATCTATGATTTTGGTACAGCCCCCACCCTGTAACAGCCTATATTCCGGAGTTACGGGCTGGGGTGTATCCAGGTTTGAGGGTTTAGAGTTTAGGGTTTAGGGTTTAGGGTTTAGGGCGTGTCGATGCTCCGCGCACACCACCGCGCGAGACGTGTGTTGTGGTGTGCGCCTAGGTTCAACGCTCTCGCCCTACCCGCCCACACAGTCTATGACCTTTGTCGGGTTTAGGGTTTTTCTCCAAGGTTTGTGGCTTGGTGTTTGCGGCTTGGTCTGGCAAGGAATCAAGGTTTGTGCCTTGGTCTGGCGGGGGCCCAAAATCAAGGTTTGTGGCACCCGGGAAGGGCCAGCCAGGGCCGGGTGGGGGGGCCAGGCCAGGGCCAGGGCCAGGGCAGGGCCAGCCAGGGCAGGGTAGGAGGAGAGTCCCCCTGCTCCCAAGGTTTAGGGTCATATATTTCTCTTATGCTCCAGCACGCCTGTCGCGTGCGCCAGCACCCGAGCCGGTGCTGGGGCTCCTTCGCTGCGCCTGCCGCGCCAGCTCCGGAGCCAGCCTCGCTGACGCCTCGGCACGCTCGCTGCTGCTATCGCAGCGCCCGCAGCTCGCTTCAGTTTAGGGGTTTAGGGTTTAGAGTTTAGGGTTTAGGGGTTTAGGGTTTAGAGTTTAGGGTTTAGGGTTTAGTCTACATTAGGGGTCACAACACGGGCTCTATTAACTAACAAATAAAAGTTCTCCAGCTGTTACAAAGTGGGGGCAGTCCCAACCCAACCCTGTCGTCTGCATTGTAATTCGTTCTTTGGCTAAACCAACTATGTTTTGACTATCCCGTCAACCCCCAAAAAGGACTTGTAATGCAAACTATAGGAACAGCAGCCTACGGCCTACGGCACTAAATCTGAAGAGGAAACGAATATCAACAAGATAGTTTTGTGGCTATATAACTAATCATAATAAACAGACCAAGGCTGACCAACTATACAGCCATAACAATAGCCTTCTTGTTGAGACTTCGAAATAAAGATTTTCTGTCATTCAAACAAACCAAAATCCACGCTCAGGCCCTCTAAACCCGATATACGAGGATCTTGCTAGGTTTTGAGGTTTATCTATAGGGTTTTGGGCGTAGAGTTTAGTCATGTAAGGCAACCGGTAAGTACCATCCAGAAACCAAAAGAGCCTTCCCGATCTCCTTCGCTGAAGCATTGGGCTCCACTCCGAGCAGCTTGTAGTAGTCTTCCATGGTCTACGTGGGGCAAAGGCCATGTTGCATGGCTGCCCAGCAAAAGGTGCTAGGAAAAATTTAGGGTTTAGGGTTTAGGGTATTTGTGGCTTGAATCTCAAGCTGAGGCTTTGCGGGCTTCTAATCGTCGGGAGGTCATGAGTGGAGACTCGTAATTCGCAGCTGGAAGTGTGGCTTGACCGACTAAGCTGCCTCAAATGACTTCCCAGCGAGAGGCAATGATGCATTTGTTGCAAGATGACAACGAGCCGGTTTTATGAATCTTCTCGTCCTTGCCTGCGCGGAATCGGTCATTCGTGTCCCCGAGGGGCCCGCTACATGTGATGCATGAGTTTCGGGTTTAAGGTGCTAGTACATTCATGTTGCATCAGCTATACTGCTTTTCCCGCTCGGGCCAAGACCAAACTCAGAAACCTGTGAGTCTCAACGTTTAGATTTAGGGTCAAGGCATCAGGGGCTCAGGGCAATGTAACAAAAATCCAAGTCTAGCCACAAGCTTGAAAAAACCCGCAAAACGAAAGTCCCAAAAGCCCACATCTTCTCTACCCGAATCCGATAACTCCACCATCCTAAACCTTCCACTTCTCACTAGCCTGCAACAGCCTTACACCGTTAGCCTTCCCTTGTCTGTTGGGTTGCGGTGATTACGACGCCTGTCACTCTTAGCATGGCCCTGTAATTATAAAGTTAAAACCCAATCCCCGATCCGTCTTGCTTCAAGGAAGCTTGCGCGAATAATCTCTGTATTTGCAATGAACTCAGGTACGATACATTTCAGGTACGATATAAACAGAAGCCAAAAATCGCGGTGAGTTGATCGCAAGCGATGAGCCGTCAGTTGACAGAGTATGCAAGCAGCTGGCTATAGCAAGGAAAGCGAAACCTATACGGCTCTTTGGTATAGATTGGGAAAAGAAGAGTAATCACACGACACAAGTCCTTCCATGTCGACCGGGGCATACGGCGGTGGCAACGCATTTCGCGATGAGCACTCCTAAAACATCTGCCAGCTTGTGCCAGAGCCCAAGTTGCCAAATCAATTTTACGTCCTCGGCCTGACATGCCTTCGATCAGTACCCTAAACCCTAAACCCCTAAACCATAAACCCTAAACCCCTAAACCCCCAAAGCCTAAACCCTTTTCTTCCGTCCGTTGGTCGGGCTTCGACTGCGGCTGTGGCCTGGTGTCAGGAAGCGAGGACTCTGCATGCTTCTCGGTTCAGGCCCCTGTCGTAGTTGGCCCCCTCTCTCCGTGAGGACTTTGTAGGGTTCAGGAGTTCAGGGTTTAGGGCTTGCAGAGTTTAGGGCTAGAAGCTTTGAAGAGTGTAGGGTTTGACGGTGAGTTAGGGGGGATTGAACATCCTCGTCCTGCTCCTCAGCCTCCTCAACTTCCTGGGCATTGCTACATTTCACACCAGGCAGGGCACGTTGCGTAAGTTTTTCAAATGGTTGGGTGTGGACTTTATTTTGCACTTTCACACCAGTCAGGGCACGTTGCGTAAGTTTGTCAAATTCCAGGTTGGGTGTGGACTTTATTTTGCACTGTGATCTTGCCTGCCTGGTGGTCGTTCTGCGACAAACTCTAATGTAGGGGCCTTAGTAGTTAGAACAGGGGTTTGGGGCCCATGATACCATAATGATAATACGTAATCAACCTCAACATAGTACAGGAAATTATCTAGGCCCCTATAGTAGGTCGAGGGCATGACGCTAAGGACAACGATGACACCCAAACTTTGTATACCTAGTCATAACAGTACCAGCCCGTCAGTCGGGTACAACAAGAGTCTTGCGAAAGACCACGATACTGAAGACAACGATCCACCAGCACTAAGAATACATGTGCTGCATACCGTTCTGCTATACTTGTAGTGATACAAAATAACCGCGGTGTCGGTGTGGTTCTGCAGGTTTTGGCGATTGCATAGGGCTTGTTAATGATGGATGGCTAGATGGCGTCGGGAGGCGGAATACCTCAAACTTCGTAAGCACGAAGACGAGCAGGCCCACAATGCCCGAAACGATGAACACAGAAGATGACGAAGCCCAACAGCTGGAAGACAAACTCATCATAAAACTCCACATTTTCATTATGCAGCATTCTGCCTCGCTGTGACTGCTTGCCCTGAAGGGCATCGCATTGCGTTTTGGTTCCCAGCGGGACCTCGCCGTGGAATTTGGGCGAAGCTGCTCAGGTTGTTACTTCGGGTTGTGGGCCATCTGCAGACTGGCATGTGAGGCCTGTGTTGGATTGCAGCTGCACTTCCGGGGCTATGCTTGAAAGTCCTGCGGCTTTCCTGTGTCGAAAGACTGCGAAGTCCGGGTTGGCACTTCGTTGGGACTGCGTTTGGATACCCTTCACGACTGGTGCAACCTGCTGCCACGTCTGCCAAAGATTCTGAGCAGATTATGATATATATATATATATATATATATATATATAGATAGATTCTTGAGGGAGGGAGGGAGGAAGGGAGGGAAGGAGGGAGCGAGGGAGGGGGGGGGGGGAGTCTGAACATGAGGCTCCCGCAGAAGCCGCAACACTGCGGCCACAAGCCTCTCGTAGTCGGTGGCTGGCGTTTAGGGTTTGGGATTTCGGGCTTTGGGTTTAGGGTTTAGGGCTTCGGGCTTAGGGTTTAGGGGATTAGTGGGTTTAGGCTTTAGGTTTTACGATTTTTTTTTGGCTGCACAACCATCTGAGCTACCATAAGGCCTGACGGCCAGGAGGAGGTAGGGGGACTTACGCCCCCACATCAGAAACCCTCTCAGAACCCACCGTACAGCTTTTCCGGGTTTAAGGTTGAGGGTTTAGGGTTTGGGATTTCGGACTTAGGATATATTACATGGTTTGGGGTTTAAGGATAGCGGGGTTGAGGGTTTTAGGGTCTCACAGTGATCCTTGCTCCGGGTTTGAGGTCTTCAGGCTGGGTGTGGCCTAAGGGGTCAACTGATGCGTAATGTAGGGGCCTTAATATTCAGAAAAGGGATTTGGGGCCCATGATACTGTATCTATAGTAAGGAACCCCCAAAATGGTGTAGGTAATTATTAAAGCCCCTATGGCAATGCAAGAAATACTTAAAGCTGGCAGTTTCGGAGTGTCAGACTTTCCGTTCAGTCAGGGGCTTTGTCGGGCCTGCTGTGGAGGTGAAAGCACGGCCTCGGAGACCTAAATGATTAGACCAGTGTCATTTTGTATCTATCGTTGCATGTCTTCCAGCAGCTTGCACAATGAAGCCTGGTTCCCACAGGCTACTTGGGTTCCAAACTCTGATTCCCATGTTTCAGAAAAGAGAATCCGCAAAGCCTGAAACACAAAAGGCCCGAAAGTTCCAAAAGTAAAACTTCCAACACACCTAACGAACCACATTCCCCGACATCGAGAACAACAAAAACAAATCCTACACCCTCAACCCTATAAGACGCAAGCCCCATAAACCGTAAACCCTAAACCTTAAAGCCACACCCCTAAACCCTAAAACCAATTAATCCTGAACATCCCGTGGTGCTTAGGGGCCGAAACAGTTACCTATATCACTTTGGGTAATATAGTTATGGTATCATGGGCCCGGCCTCACATGCCTGACTCGAGCTGAGCTTTGCAGCTGCCTCATTGGGTCTAACATCGCTCGAGAATGGAATGTCGCAGCCCGGCCCTCGATTAGCCCTACCTTAACACCAAGAAACCTAACGACTCATACCCAGAGAGCCCAATATCCCCTAAGTAGGGAATATTGCTTAAATCATAGTACGAAGCCCCTTAAAACTGAAGGGTATATTCCTTAATTGAGGGATATTGGAGTCTCTGAGTACGCGAAAGTCATAACAAGGAACCCTTCAAAGGTCGCAGGACACAAGGCAGGGTTTGTAGGGACCAAGAAGACCCTGCCACTGATTCTAGACTATCCGCTGAATCCTCTCTCGGCCCTGAACCAAATGAAGCATAAACCCCACAAAACCTTCAAACCCTGCGCCCCAAATGCTAGAGCCAGAAAGGAACTTCAGAGATACGGAGCCCTACTATAGAACCCTATAAGTGATACAAACCTTGCTTGAAGTTAAAGGGATCCAGAACAAGGAGCTACCCGTTTTCTGAATCACCAGATCCTCAACCCGCGACTATCAGGGCAGTGGAGGGCACCAGGGCACTCAAATTGTCCGATTCTTCCTCATGCCAAAGCAGCGAGATGCTGTCAGGGCTCAGCGTTTAGGGTGTTGAGTACATATTTCGATACGACACTACCTGAAAACCGATATAAGCTGCAATGATGCATAGCTTGATGTTCGCGTTCTACGTGTCACTCGTTTGCATACAACTCAGCGCTGAGCCTCAGCAATGATGCATCCACCTCGGGACACATGAAGGCTTCAGGAACGGCAGGCGTGGTTTATGCCCTGTGCGCTTTAAGGCAAGTACACGACTCAACCCTCAAAACATGCTAGCTCATTTCACGGACCCAGAAAGCTCGAGACGTTGGTTATCGGGCATTAACTAAATCAGTTTAAAAAAGCGAGGTCAGCCTACAAGCCCGTAGACCTCAAAATCACCCGAAAAAGGCTTATAGGGTATATAGGGCTTAAGGTTGATCCTCTGTCTTATATCCAACCAAGACCTGATTCCTAAAGAACACGCAGTGTGAACCTGCGGTGTAAGGTGTCGGCATTGGCATTTGGGGCTTATGCTTGGCGCACCAGTAGAGTGAAAGGAATGAGCCCCACTTGGCAAACTCAAACTCTCCAGGCCTGGAACCCGAAACCCCAACCAAGCCAAACAACAAGATTCCAAACTGAACAACCGCCGAAATCGTGCTTTGTTCAGGGTTACCTTGACCCAAACTCGCAGCCACCGAAAATGTGTTACATGTCCTGGCTTTGTTCAGGGTTACCTTGACCCAAACTGTAGTACCTTTGCTTGGCTTCTCACTATAGGATTGCAGCATGGCCTGACAGCAAGACAGGATAATGTAGGAACTTGATTGAGACACCCTGGGCCAAAAAAAAAC